GGGGGTGGGGGGGTTGTTGTAGGTGGTCAAGGGCGGAAGAGAAGGGCTGTTTGTGATGGGCATGGTCTTATTCATTTTCCTCCGGTCTATGTGTTGGGTCGCTACCGCCTTTGGTTGAGTGTTGGTCGTCAAGTCGGTCATTGGGGGTAGTTGTGCAATATTTCTCTTTGCGTACATGCTGTACAACACTCTTTTGATATAATGGAAGAGCTGGAAAGCGATTATTCCAACCTTTGCGCACAATTGTTGTTGTGATTCTTTCTAACAGAGAAGGAATTAAGAAGTGAGGATGATATTTCTATATCCCGTGGAACCGACCGTTTTACTGGAGCAAATGGTTGACTGCTTGGAAAGGTGGTTTGTGAAAGAGCACGCTGTACAGGCTGGAACGGTTGGCCAGTGGCCACTGTCTCCAGCTGTCGCAGAGCTGTCCGTTTGGTCCTTTGCAGGGCGTGAGATAAGAGAACGCACGCACCCTTCCATGCTCAGCGCCTGGGCAGTGGGGGCACTGGACACCAAGGACCGAAGTGATTCGTTGAGGATAATATCGCGTCGCAATTCGACGCACCCGCGAACCGCGCTGACATAATTCCTCCAAACCAAACCAGAACCGAGGCTAGTGACACGGGAAGAATTTCAGGGGCAGTGCTCCGAAGCTCAGCCTTGTGGAATTGACACTTCATCGCGGGCCTGGCACATTTTCTACTGTGCAGCTAGCCGAGCAGAACTGTTCAGCGAGTGCGACGGGTCTCTGATGCGGCTTCAGGTGAATCGTTTGTCGCCTGTGGGCCTCAGGTGGAATCTATGATAGACGTTTGGGGCATACGTGGTTTGACGTTGACAAATGCAAGCTGTACTCACCAGCAACACCATGCGAACTTCACTTCAGCAGAACATTATGATAGTGTAGATAGCCCACATGTTATTTTCTTAAGCAATAATGGTTGATTCGATCCTTCACCTACACAGCGTGAAATAGAACGAGGGTTAAGTACGAGGTTTATGAAGAAAAAACAATCTGTGGTTGACGAGGTGACACTCGAAACAGAACTATTTCATGAACTAGTCAGGGGATAGATACAACTTGCCAACCACACACTTGTCGTATGTAGCTGCACTTCCGAGATCCAAATCGGATGCAGTCCCAACTCACTTTGTACGTTTCCTAAACAACATAGCTTGTTGCTGTCATATATCGAGTCCTCCATGAGCGTAAGAACAAGACTGATGTACAGCAACATCCCTCCTCTGAGAAAACGACACTGATTCTTAGAACGTTGATCAGTGATGTTAGAAGAGGACATGCGCCGAGTCTACTATCAGGAGAGCATTTAGTCTCACTAAGTATGTCATCTTCGTGAAGAACATCGAATGTACGCCACAGTTTCAGTGAGAACCTCATACTCTTATGGGCGGCCACATCCGTCGGAAAGCAACAAAAAGGGATAGTCATTGATAACACCAAAACAATCGTGTCTTTTTCCGACTGGCATTGGCTAGCATTTATTGTCGTTCTCGTCTCTCAGTCCACATTCACCAGTGGAAGCTCTGGACGTCTTGTTTTCAGGGGCCCATGAATGTCCCATTTTCTCATATCGATTGCTCAAAACCGAAGCATTTCGGTCAGTTGGTTTGTCCAGCCAGATAGGTTTGCCTGCCACAACTTGATTCATTTTTCTACTCACCTGGCTTGAAGGTCTTCCATAACCTGCCGAACCCCCTGCCCCTTACCCACCTCCTCGCCGAACTTAGTGGCTAGCTCTGGTAGCGTCGTGCAACCTGCAGCCTCCACGCATTTCCCTGTAGGGGTTCAATCGATTTGGCATTTCGTTGGATCCGTAACAATTCTGAGTCAGTTTTGCGCCTGACGCCTCACATCTTCGCGAGCAACACTGACTCTTTCACCTTCGACAGTTTTTCACTAGGCACAAGAGCAGGATAACCAATTGCTGGACCAGACTCTTCACAGTTGAATAACGATTAGCTTGTCTGCCACCCCTTGGAGTTCCTACGGGCCCTACATAGTACGTTACGAGATTCCCCCAAAGCAGCTTGAAAATCCTAGCCATGGCGGGCGGAGCCGCTCCCACGTCCTATGGCCGTCTTATGAACAAACTGCGCAGTCCGGTCCAGATTTTGTCGACGTTCGTTCTCGGACTCCTGCTCCCTTTCGCATTCTACGTCTTCTGCGACAGTGCGATCGGCATCGACATCTCGCCCATCTGCTATCTCGTCGTTGTCTTCATGCTTGTGCTTACCGCGCTCGTCGTATGGGTCGAATGTTTTCTCGCCGTTTTCAACCGAGAACCAGTACCTGAAGAACCAGGATCGCCATATCCACCGGCTTCTGCAATCATCGCGGCGTATCTCCCGAACGAGTCGGACACTATTTTGGAGACGATAGAGGCATTCCTCAATGTTGAATATCCCGCGCCACTTCAGGTGAGCAGAATCCCCACCCTCGCTTCAGTTGTTCTACCCTCCCTGACGCTTATTCTTCCTAAAGGTAGATGTTAATCACTGCGTCTAATGCTTATTATTGCTTATGTGGTTCTTAGGTCATCTTGGCGTACAACACGCCACGCGACATGCCCGAGATGGAGAGCATCCTCGCTGAGATGGGAAGGCAGCGCCCCGATCGGTTCCTCCCTTACCGCGTCATCCATTCCCGTTCCAAGGCCGAGAACGTAAACGCCGCCGTGAAGCTGATCAGAGGCGAGTTCGTGGGTGTTTTCGATGCGGATCACTGTCCTGCTCACGACTCTTTCATGCGCGCCTGGAAGTGGCTTAGCAACGGGTACGACATCGTGCAAGGGCATTGCCTCGTGCGAAACGGCGACGACAACTGGGTTGCGCGCGCCGTCGCAGTCGAGTTTGAGACGATCTACTCTATCGGCCATCCCGGGTCAGAATCTGTCCACCAGTTCGGCTTCTTCGGCGGCTCCAACGGTTTCTGGAGGTCGGGGCTTCTCGCGCAAATCGGAATGGACGCCTCCATGCTGACGGAAGACATCGATTCATCGATTCGTGTGCTTCTGGCTGGTGGTCGCATTAAGTCGGATCCTGGTCTCATTTCCTCTGAGCTCGCAACGACGACCTTGAAGCAGATTTGGAATCAGCGCATGAGATGGGCACAGGGCTGGTTCCAGGTGTCGATGCGCCATTTCTTCGCCGGCATGACGTGCCGAAACCTCTCAGTGTGGCAACGATTCGGGCTCTTCCATCTGTTCGTGTGGCGCGAAATCTACCCGTGGCTGTCTCTCCAGATCCTCCCGCTTCTGTGTTTCATCGCGTACAAGATGAAGGGCTTCGGATCTATCAACTGGTTGGACTTCGTGTATCTGGGCACGACCGTGTTCACCTTCTCCTGTGGGCCTGCTCAAATCCTCTTCGCTTATTTCGTCTCTGAGAAAACCATCAAGAAAAGAGCTGCGTGGTGGTGGTTTTACTTGTTCTTCGCAACGATTTTCTACACGGAGTTCAAGAATGTGATTGCGCGGGTGGCACACATAAAGGAGTTCATGAAGGAGAAGGCATGGATGGTTACTCCTCGGACCGTCTCGACGCAAAGACAAGCGTTCAAGGAGTTGAGAAAAGGGGTTGGAGGCATGGAGGTTGTCGTGCGATGAGTGCGCGCATCGCGGTGCGCTGTGATGGCGTGCCTTATCAGTGCACCGCGATTCGACCAACCCCTCACATTGTTATTCGCCCTGGCTTTTCTCGAAGGTGACTTGTCAGGGGCCACTTCACATAGGCGAGGCTCTCGCAAGAGGCACTCGACAAGTGCATTCCTAATGAGGTGGCAAAACTCTCCCACGTCAGTTTCAAGAGGGAGATCATGCCTCTTTCTCGTATCCACTCCCTTGTGGTATGAGAGTTGTTTGTGCATTAGTGTATCCTTACAGAAGTATTCAATTCATTTCTATGCCTTGTTCCTTGCAATCCATGGCTGCGCGGTTCGAGAATATTAATCTCTAGGCTTGTTGGTCCTTCCCAATCCCCTGGACGCGTCCAGGAATAGTTGACTAGCTTCACATTTTCTCGAAATGCCCAGGACATTTGCATGGTTGCGTTTGGGGCCAGGAAAATTGGATTGGAGATGCGGCGCGGAGCAGTGCGCAGGTGTTTCAGAAAGCTGGATTCCACAAAAGCGACAAACGCCTAACCTGTATCTCCAGAGGCCCACATCAGGTGGGCTTCGGTGGCCTGTTGAGCTGTGCACTGTTACGAACGCATTTGGGTCCCACCACAGGCTTGCGATCTTGCACGAAAACTCTGGCTGCGCGGAAAACACTGTGGTTTGTTATTCCTGCCCAGGACTGGTTCGGATGTCCCAGTCTACAGTTTTGACTGGACTTGATGCAGGATTACACTCGGCTGTAACAGCATATTTGCGAAACAATGGATGACAAACACAAACTTGTAACAAGCTCTACAGTTGGGTATACTCAACTGCTCCTCACCTGTTAAGGCCATCCACACATTTTAGTGTTCTGAAATATAGATGGAAACCTGTTTAGTATGTCCCTTATGTACCTTCCTAGTGGAAGACGAGAGATCTTATTGACTATTCATGAAGTTAGCATACAATCTAATCTCATAAACCATTAACTGACCATTTCCGCCCTCAACAACATCTGCCAAGACCATAGATCTAGCAAGAGAAAAACGAACAGAAGCTTGAAGGAGGGCAAAGGGAAAGGATGTAGAGACAGTGAGGCAAGAACGTTGGGGAAAGGGGAGGGATGGTGAGGACTTCGAAGCTTCGGATCAGAGCATGTATAAATATATCTGTATGCATAAATACTCAGGGTGAAGGCCTACGCCATGGAAAGAGCTGCTGAAGATCTCATGGTATGAGTGAGTGTAATGCACGTGAGATGAGGCATGTTAGCAGGTGCGTGCGGCGCAGTGTGTACGAGTGTGTGTGTGTGTGTGTGTGTGTGTGTGTGTGTGTGTGTGTGTGTGTGTGTGTGTGTGTGTGTGTTAGCAGTGCCCATTCAAAAGAGCCCACGAGGAGTGGACCCAGTCTTGGCAGAGTTTGTCCTTCGGGTTAGCGGGGCTCGCTTAGATGGCGAACCAGAAAACAGCCCCCTCCTCACGCCTGCTCCACCAATCCCCCCCTCTCCACCACTCCCAATCCCTCTACCCCCTTGTCCTCCCGCTGGTCCTGCCTGCATTGCATTGCTCTCATAGAGCCCAAGAGCGACAGCAGCAGCTAGTGCACGGTCCTGTTCCAACTCCCCTACAGCCCCAGCAGGGCAAACCCCGCTAGCAACATCTCCGTTCACCCCGTTACTCTGGTTACCACCAGCAGAGCTGTTGCCGTTGCTGCCACTGCCGCCGTTGCTGCCGCCGCCGCCCCTGCTGATGCTCCGAAAGAGGCTCTTCACAGAAGCACGGGCGATGGCAGAGGCAGCAGCGAAGGGAGAGGCAGAGGAGGAGAACGGGCTGCTGCTAGATGCGCCTTGCGTTGGCATGCCAACACTGGTGGGGGTGGGGGTAGCACTGGAAGGCGGGGATGATGGTATAGCACTGCCGGTCGTGGAGGTGGTGGCGTTGGCGGTGGTGGTGGAGGTGGTGGTGATGTTGCCTGTGGTGGGATTTGCAGGAGCAATAGAGCTGTTCGGAGGAGTGGAGGTGAACAATGGTTGACCTGCAGTAATGGATCCAAATGCTCCAGGACCGAAATACGGATTGGTTCCATGGGAAAAGAGAGACGCAGCGCCATCAGCAGCAGCTGGCGCTGCTGCAGCAGCAGCAGCAGCATTGCTGGTTTTGGTGCCGAAGCTGCTGGCACCAACGATAGCGCTTCCATGGAACGGCAGGGAGAAGTTGAAACGCGGAGCGGTTGTAACAGCAGCTGCAGTGTTGTTGAGCTTGGTGGGAGACGTGCTCAGAGCAGAGAAAGCAGCCATGATTGCGGACAGCCCAGTGGAAGCAGGTGCAGCTGCAGCTGTCACACCTGCCTTCACACCAGCAGCAGTACTACCTGCTGTCGCAGCAGCAGCAGCAGCTGCTGCTGCAGTGGCAGCATCAGGAGCAGCAGGAGGAAGGACCTCTCCCGTGGAGGAATAGATTGCCCTAGGCACGGGAGCCCCGAACCTATCGATCTGCACCGCAGGGGAGAGACGGGCTCGGAAAGCAGAGATGGATCCAACCGACCCAGGGCAAGAATCCCCTGCTGCACCGGCAGCAGCCTCAGCAGCTGCGGCAGCCACTGCTGACATTCCAGCGCCCTTCTCTACTCGTCCTGCTCGCTCGTCCTTCCCTCCACCGCTCACAACCTGAGCCTTGCGCAGCTTCCTCTTGGGCGAAAACAGGTAGAAGGGGCTGCTGAGAGCAGAGGGGCGGGTGCGCTGGGACGTGATGGGGCCTAGGCTGGTTCCTCCACCTCCCCCCCTGCTAGCCTTGGGTGCAGGCGCGAGGGAAGGCGGCACGGAGACGCAAACAGCCGACGCTGATACTGCTGCTGCGGACGCTGCTAGTGCCGCAGCTGAAGCAGCAGCAGAGGGAGCAAGAGGAGCAGCAGAGGCGGCGTTGCTGGCAGAGTGGGCTTGGCCAAACAGGCACCTCCTACGACCGGGGCTGATACCCTCTCGGTTGCCCCCCAACGAACTCCTCCCAGCCAATCCCCGGCTGCCTTCCCCCATAATCGTATCCGTCCCTGCTCCTCCTCGGGTGAACCCACCATCTCCCAGGTCTGCTGTTCCCAGCCGGAAAGCCCCTGGCGCCCCGATAGAGAAGAGGCCAATAGGGGGGCTGCTGCAGGCGCAGTGAGCGGAGTGGTAGCCGTCACTGCAACCCCGACTGCCTGCTCCTGCGACTGCTGCTGCTGCACCGACACCAGGACCTGCACCAGCAGAAGCAGGGGCAGGGGCAAGCGGTGACTGCGCCAGTGCGGACGGCTGTTGCAGTTGTGCCACGCCTGCTGCTCCTGGCGCAGCTGCTGTGCTAGTACTGGGTGCGCTTCTACCGAAGATGACAAAGGTGCCAGGGGGAAGGGCGGTGGGCGAGCTTGACCCGGCTGGGCTGGACGCACCAGGGAGAGGAGAAGCGGTGGGAGCTGGAGGTGCAGTAATGGCTGGAGGCGGTGCTGTGCTGTTGTAAGGAGAAGGGGCATGGGTGGTGGGGGCAACGGAAGCAGCGGCTGCAGGGGCAGTGGGTGTGTGGGACAGGCTGAACGCAGAGGTAGGGAGCATGGAGAGTGGAGGGAGAGGGGCGAGAAAAGGCGTGGGGCAAGAGGAAGCAGACGAGGCGAAGGAAGGAGCGGGAGAGGCGGCAGGAGAGGGAGGCAGGAATGCAGAGGAGGACGAGGGGTTGGGGCAGGTGAAATCCGGTGCAGGAAGCAGGGGCGGGGTGGGGTTGGAGTGGTGGAAAGCGGAGGAGTGGTTGAAAGGGGGAGTGGGGGCGAAGGCAGCAAAGGCGGGGTCCTGGCCCGGCAGGCGAGGGTAGAGAGGGGACTGCCCATGCATGTAGCTGTGGGCAAAGCCTCGCCCGTGCGCATGTGTCGGTGCAAACTGACTGAAATCCTGCACCTGCTGCTGCTGCTGCTGCTGCTGCTGCTGGTGCTGCCAGGGCAGCGCCTCACTAACCTGCGCATGCGACAGGAAGCGGCCATTCTCAGGAGCAGGCGAAGGCGCATGCACGAATCCATGCTCTTGCGCCTGCTCATGCCCATCCATGCAGACAGCGTCGTCCGGCCCCTCCTTCATGGGCGAATGCTCCGCACTGCTGCTGCCGCCTTGCCTCTTCCCACCAGCACCCACAACAGCAGCAGCAGCAGCAGCAGAAGTGGTAGTAGGAGCAGCCACAGCAACAGCGAGAGCGAGAGCGACAGCGGCCCCATCGCTCATCTCCACATCTGTGTCCATCATGTCCGCTCGCGCACATGCGTCCATGGCGCTAACACCCCGCCCACTCGCGTCCATGTCCGCGCGCGTGCATACATCCATGTGTACCTCCTGTGCCGCCGTCGCCACGGCAGGTGCCGCAGTGGGATAGGCAGCAACAGGGGGAGCAGTAGCCGCAGCAGGAGCAGGAGCAGCAGTAGGAACAGGGGAAGCAGTAGAAGCAGTAGCGAGAGTGGTAGCTGCTACTAGGGACGGAGAGGGGGCACCAGCACCAGCACCAGCACCAGCAGCTGCTGCGAAGGGGGTGAAAGCGGTGGAGGCAGGAGCAGGTGCCGCAGCTACTGCACAACGAGTCTGTGTGGCAGGAGGTGTAGAAGCGACAGGAGCGGACGCAGTGGTTGCTGCTGCTGCTGCTGGTACTGCTGCTGCTGCTGCTGGTGCTGCAGCTGCACTGGTGCCAACTTTCCCAACCATGCCTGCAGCAGCCGCTGCTGTGGACGCTGCCGCTCCCCCGACCGCACTCCCTCCTTTTGGCCTTTCCTCGCCTTTTTCCCCCAATCCGCGCACTCCCACTGCGCCATCGAGCCTCCGCGCGGTGGATGGCGGAAAGTGCAGGCTGCCGGGGGGGAACGCGGAGGACGCGGGCCGGCGCCTGTGCAGCGGGGCGCCCGCTTCGCGCAGCGTCGGCGGAAGGGAGAGGGACGGCAGTTGCGGGGGGCAGTGACGGAGAATCCACGGGTGCGCGAGCGCGGCTTCCGCGGTCGCTCGGCGCGGCGGATCTATCGTCAGCAACCAACGGATCAGATCCTTCGCTTCGTCCGAGATCGACGGCCACGGATCGCTGCGGTAATCCGGGCGGCCGCGAAGAATCCGCACAAAGAGCTCCTCGTCCGTCGTGCCCCAAAACGGCATAAAACCGGAGAGCGCGGTATAGAGTATAACCCCAAGGCCCCACATATCCACCTGCACGCCGTACGGTTTCCGACATACCACCTCAGGTGCCATATACACGGAGCTACCGTGCATTCCCACGGCTTGCTGCCCCGGTTTCAGCGGAACGGCCAGCCCGAAATCTGCCAGCTTCACGTGGATCTCCGCCCACCCATTCTCCGCGCAGGAAGCGGCGCCAAATTCCCCGCCGCTGCCGCTGCGGGCGTCCCAGGTCCCACTCGCGTCGGTGTCATCCGCGTGGTGGCCTCGCGTCGCGCCGTGACTGCTAGTGGCGGTGCTGGCGCTAGCGGTGGTGGTTGCGCCATTGGCGGAGTCGAGGAAACTGCTCCGCGTGCTGAACAGACTGCTCGTTGCCGTGCTGCTCGGGGTACTCGGCGGGCCGTCCCCGCCGTCTCCGCCCGCCGCGCCCGCCGCCGTCGACGCCTTCACCGCTTCCGCGGGGTTTTGCCCCGCAGGTTTGCCATCCGCGCCGTCGGCAGCGGCGGAGGCGGAAGCGCGGTTGGGGAGTGGCGCAGCGCGCACGAGGAGGATGTTTTCGGGCTTCACGTCGCGATGGAGTATGCCGTTGCGGTGACAGTGGCTCAACGCGCGGAGGATTTGGCTGCGAGACGACGGGGGCAAGGGGGAAGGAAGGGTAACGAGGAAAGTTGAGCAACGGCAAGAAGAACGATAAAGCGAGGGGAATTCGCGAAAGTGGCGGAACGGGAGACGGAAAGATAAGAAGATGAGAGGAAATCGCATCTGGAAATCTTTCTACGACGCGCTACCTGCGCCGACACACACCTTCCCCGATGATCACAAACTCCTCTTTCCCCCTCTCCCCCGCCCTCCTAAAACCCTTCCGCACCCACTCCGCCCTCCGCGCAAGTACCTCGCGATGCGCGCGGCGAGCGGCTCGGGGAGCGTGACGGCGGCGGTGAGGAAGTCGTAGAGGTCGCCGCCGGTGCAGAGCTCCATGACGAGGTGCACGGCGCGCGCGTCCTCGTACACGCCCAGCAGCTGCACCACGTGCGCGTGCCCGTGCAGCCGCTTCATCGCAGTTACTTCCATTCGCACCTCGTCCGCCAGGTCGCGCCGCTGCGGGGGGGAGAAGGGCGGGAGACAGGCGGATGGGGGGAGGGGGAAGAGAGGGGGGGTCGGAAGAGGCGGGGGGGAGTGGATGGTGAGAGAAGAGCGATGGTGTTTGCGGGAAGGAAACGAAAACGCAGTAGGGTTTGGACATTAGTAGGAGGAGCCAGGCGGGGTGGGGATGGGGGAAAAGAGGGAATATAGACATGGTGAAACGATGGGGTAGAGAAGGTGGGGGATAGAGAAGGGTTGCGGTAACGATGGGGGAAACGGGACCGAGATAAGGTGAAGGAATTGGGCAGGAGCACGTTCGCAGGGAGCCCTCCCTACCTGTAGCTTCGACTTGGGAATGCTCTTGCACGCCGCCACCGGCCGTCCCGTGAGCGGATCCAAGCACTCGCGCACCACGCCCCCTCCGCCCTTCCCAAGCTCCTTCCCCAGCGCGTACGCCCGCCGCACATCCCCCCGCCCCGTGCGCGGAAACACCGTGAAAGCCCCCGACGAGCTACCCGGCTCCGTTGCGGCGATGCCAACGGCAGCTCCGGGTCCTGGCTCCCGAAACCCCGCCGCGGTTCCCGCCGATATTACGCCCGCGGCCGCTGCGGCTGCCGCATCCCCCCTTCCCGTCCTTAAGAAACCCGCGCTCCCTTGCGCGGGAGCTGCGTTAGTCGCGGCGGCCGTCACTACGCTCGGCTGTGCCAGGTGCGGAGGCTGCGCCACGTTCACGCCAATGCTCCGCGCGGCTGTAGGTTCTGACGGGGGCTCCTTGACAGCATGTGCGGAAGATTCTTTCTTGGGCATGGATACCGCGGCGGTGGTGCCGCCAGTGGTCGTCGTATTAGCAGCCGCAGCTGCAGATTTGACAGGACCGGAATCAGCCGTTTTCCCGGCTGCAGACGCCGTTTTGCCAGTGCCAGCAGTCTTGCCGCTACCTGCCGCCTTAGCACTTGGAACCGCAGCGTTCGGTACTCCCCGCCCAAAAGCAACTCGCGGCGCGTCCCCTCCAGCGGCTAATCGCCCCCGGCCGCTGTGATCCCTTCCGCCCGCCCTCCCCCCTCCCGTCCTTCCAATACCGCCGCGTCCTGGCGCTCTGCTTAAAGGCCCTGCAGCTGCCCCAGACACCCCACTCCTGAAAACCCCAGGGGAAGGCCGGATCGTAGGGGACGCCGCTGGCGGCTTGACAGGGGAAGACTTTCCAGCCTTCGGCGCGACCGTCGTGGTTGTTGCTGTGGGGAGTGGAGAGCCGGCGGTAGCGGGGACGGCTGCTGCGGACGGTGGTGCTGCGGCGGGTGAGCGGTTGTCTTCTCGCGCCGTGAAGGTGAACGCGGGTAGCTCCCCGCGTGACGGCATGGTGGATGGAATCGAGATTCAAACTCCAAGGGGACCGAATTTGCGTGTTCGCGGAGAGTCGCTTTAGATCCGCGTTCAGTGGATCGTGCAGAGAAGACGGTACGAGATTTGGCACAAGAGAAAATTGCGCTGAGTTTGGCGATTGCATCTACTGGCTGGTCGGTTTCGCATAATGAGACTGTCTAGTGGCGTGCAACAACTGCTATGGCCGACGGCTACGAGAGTAGAAAAAAATTGCAGATATGAACTTGGGACAGGTAGATCACAGGCGGTTTTCGCGCGTAGCCAGAGGCCGTTGCCTACCAACTGCCAGTTAACGAGCCCGTCGAGTGTGAGGTCCAGTTCAGTACACGATCACACAACTAATTCTAGTCTAGCAGCCCTCCAACTGCGAGAGCAGCGGGAGGCAGAATGCCTTGGACGGGCTGAAGAAAAGCGATGCAGGACCTTGGCACTAAGGGACCCAGCAGCATCTAAGTCAGCCGCAATTTGCGCGATCCTCCCGAAAAAGAGAGCTGCAATGAGGCAATGTGAGGTCGGGGTTGAGTGGGAGCTGCTGAATGGGGTTTGCGCAAGGGCCGAATGGGGCGGATGGGGGGAGTGGTGGGGGGTAGGAATGGTCTGCGCGCGAGGGTCGGATGTGTTGCACGGTATGGCATCTTCCTATGTCTGCTTGCAGAGGGGGAAGATGAGAAGGTGGATGATGTGCAGCTCGTTGATTAATTCTGAGTGACACATCGCAGCCGTCAGATTAGAGAAGCAGTTGTTGGCTGTCGCATCATGGTCCCGACGAATGATTTGAATGACGGGAATTACGCGCAGCTGGTGGTTGTGAGGGCGCGGAAGGAGGGGAAGGGGCACTTCCATTCGCCGGAACTTTTGTGATCGGAAAGAGCCCATTCAAATCAAACAAGCAATTTGAATGTGCAGGGTCGTTTACCGCCAACATTCAAAGATGCTGACCTGGCGATAAGAACGTAGTTTGATTGAATAATTTCAAGAGTCCAATGCATAGCCCGATCGATTTCGTAGTTTCCGAAATAGCAAAGAACTTGGGGGTAAATGGAAAGTAAATCACTTCCGTCCCACATCAGAATCAGAGAAACCAGGCTGCGGACCCTAAACCACTAGAGACCAATCATTTTCCGCTGCCCGTGCAAGGCGCCTAACATTGTAGCCGAAAAGTTGGGGGGGGCGTAGAGTTGTACAGTTCTCCCTCCTCGCGCCGCCGCCACCATACCGCTCTGTAGCTGCCATGTCCAATCCCGGGACCCAAACGAGGGATTCAGAAGTCTGTCAGCTGTACAGCCAATTAGTGCTCCGAGAAGTCTGTCCTGACAACGCGTCGCCAATGTTCAGAACACTTCCAAAAACGATTTGTCCATCCTCTGTCACAGTGCTGGTTCCATGTTTTCGCTATTATTACTTGTAACAATGTACGCTGATAAGGGATTGCCAATAAAATTACGTTGAAGCAATACTTTGGCCGGAACTAGGCTCATCATATTTGCATAATTCCTCATTGTTCAACACTGATTTGTTATATGAGCCGCAAAACCACACGGAAAACAGACCAAAGGAATATGAAAGTCAAGTGCCTTGCTCAGCTTGTTTCAAGAAGAGGAACATGAATGCAGACAACAACACACTAGCTAAACCTATAGTAGGATTACAAAGCCAACAGTGTCAGTTGGTTGATGAAATATGTGCAAGAACATACTCCATACCGCCATCGTCAAGCTTAGCTTTGACATCTTCTAAAACCCTGCCACTGCCCTCACTAATTAAGCTCCGTGTGGTATTTTCTGCATCACTATCATCAGCTGTAGCAGCTTCACTCCTAGTACTCGAAATCTGCTCGGAGTAATCCTTGACCTCTACATGAGTTGTTGCTTCGGCCAAGCCACTTTCTTCAGCTTTAGGAGTAACCTCCCCACTCACCCAAGCAATTAAATCCGAAACATCCACTTCTGCTTTAGTACCTACAGACTCTATGGTTCCTGAACTTGAAGCGCCCGAATCCCCCCCAATTTCACCAGCATGATCAGGTTCCACAGACGAAACCACCTCTTCAGGCTGTTCAACATGATGATGGACAAGAAAGGCCATGACATGTCGTCCAGAATACCCCAAGGAGAACCAGCAACATCTGACGAGCAGAGAAAAAATATAGGAATCTATCCGCGAGACAAAAAGAAATACGGATGAACAATCCCACCTTTGAATCCGTAAGAAGCGTCTCCAATAGCTCTGAAATGTCATGATGCTCATCACGGCCACTCTCGTGGAGCGACATATCTCCTGTCGTGTCTTCTCGGAAACACTGCAGCTAAGTTGGCTGAAGACGGTTTACCTCAACCGTAAAAAAGCAGTCATGAGGTTGTCGTAAAACAATCGGATAAATATATACGCCACCGTGGTTCTTTCTTCGGTACATGCGTTAGAGACCCAACGCTGCTGGTCAGACCCAATCCACGCCTGCACACGAGAGCTACTTTCGCGAATCACGATAGCTCGTTGCTCAAGAGACAATAATAAAGCTTGCAACGTGTACACAACGATGAATGACGCATCCAAGCACGCCGACCCATGTGCTTGGTTGTACGCCATGCATACTGATTGAACTGCCCACGTGTCCCTGAGAATGTCGGCCTGGACGGCTGGGACGGAGGCGCCACATCCCGCTGTGGGGGTCTAGTAGGTGTGAAAAGTGGGTGTGTACATTTGAGAAATTGGAAAATTTGGGATTTGCGAAACCTGTTAGCTGGTGCGAAACAAAGCGGGGTGATGAGTATGTTCGGCAAAAACCGGCGAACACAAATACAAACCGAAACAAGAGCTCAACCTGATTGAATTGAGAGAACTTAGGGTTCCTCGCTCGTGTCAAACTTCTGGTCAAACTTCTTGTTTCCCTTTAGAGAAAAAAATTAGCCAGAAGACCTGGAGTGGGTCTCAAATGATCCAAAGTGGGGCCAACTGTGGGCCAGCTTAGTGTCCTCCCCGGAAGACCTGAAGTATGACACGAGCCAGGAACGCGCCCTTATGAAGGTTGCTTGGGCAAGAAACGCCAGAGGCTCACGAGCCAGGGTGGTGTCGACATCGGTGGTCGAGGATCGCGAAATGTAACCAGATATGGAATGCAACGTCAGAACTCATTCGCAAGAAGATTTGGACGGCCTTCAAATCAGTTGCGAAATGGTTACTGATTTCGTCCACGCATAACAGTAATTTCGCTTGGCGAAAATTGTCCCTATGTTATGTGAGGAGAGCTCGGTATCTACTGGGTCACACCCTGCTGCGATCAAAAATTGATCGTCCCTAGGATCACCTCGGAAAAGTTCGCACAGGTCTGAGTAGTGGTGATGGTCCCTTGATCTCAATAGCACAGTGAATGTAAAATGCTTGAGATGATAAAAACATGCAAATACAGGGATATAAAGATGAGTACAATGGAATACAAATCGACCTAGGCTAGCCATGTACTCTAAGGGATACATTTATGTCAAACTCATATACTGCTTATTGTGTAGGCTATAGTGGGGTAGCTCATATAGGGTACAACCCAATTAAGTTTTCCTACCTGTACCCATCTTGCTGCTAGTTAATCAATTCCTGCTCGTTAGTTTCTGACATGGTATCTGAGCAGTACGTCCGTAGGACCGTTTTTTTCTGGGCCCACCATTACCTAGTGACCGACTGCGGTTACCGCGTTACCCCACGCCCTGCCCTGCGCTGCGTCGTTAGCGCGAGGCCTGCCCTGCCCTGCCTTGCGTCGTGCTGCCCCGCGCACGCCCTGCCCTGCCCCGCGTCGCGCCGCCCCGCGCACGCCCTGCCCTGCCCCGCGTCGCGCTGCCCCGCGCACGCCCTGCCCTGCCCCACGTCGCGCTGCCCCGCGCACGCCCTGCCCTGCCCCGCGCCCTGCTACTCTGCGCGTCGTGCCCTGCTGCAGCCCGCGCATCGCGCTCTGCTGCAGCTTGCGCGTAGCGCCCTGCTGCACTGCGCGTCGCGCCCTGCTGCAGCCCGCGCGAAGCGCTCTGCTGTCCCGCGCGTCGCGCACTGCTGCAGCCCGCGCGTCGCGCCCTGCTGCCCCGCGCGTCGCGCCCTGCTGCAGCCCGCGCGTCGCGCTCTGCAGCCCCGCGCGTCGCGCTCTACTACAGCCCGCACGTCGCGCCCTGCAGCCCCGCACGTCGTGCCCTGCTGCAGCCTGCGCGTCGCGCCCTGCTGCCCCTCGCGTCACGCACTGCTGCAGCCTGTGCGCCAGCGCCCTGCCCTGTGCGCGCTAGCGCCCTGCCCTGCGCCAGCGCCCTGCCCTGCGCCCGCGCCCTGCCCTGCGCCAGCACCCTGCCCTGCGTGAGCGCCCTACCCTGCACCAGTGCCCTTCCCTGTGCGCGCTAGCGCCCTGTGAGAAACTGAACGAGAATGAATTGACTAAGGGAAAGTTGGGTACAAATGCAAACCCTAGACTACCCTATATGTGCTACCCCACTATAGCCTACAGTAGCTATGTCATATAAATCTGACACACCCCCATAGGCAAAGTGGGGGAGAACAAGGGGTCACAAGACCAGTCAAGCAAAGCAAAGCAAGCTCAGGGTGGATCACAAAGTCACCACACATTCCGAGCACAAGTTCAAGGCCACAAGGCCAGTTCACATGCAGGATTACATATATATATAAGGCTAGACAAGCAGGAGCAGGTGTATATATATATGCAACAGTACAAACAAGGTCAAGGGGTGAGCAAGTGAGGCAAGGTAGGCACAAGACCCAGCTGAGTACAGAAGCGCTGATGATCACAAGGCGCAAGTGCCTTGGTGAAGATATCAGCAGTGTTGGCCTGAGAGGCCACGTACGCAAGCCGCAGCTGACCACGCTGCTGTAGCTCACGAGCAAGGAAGTAGCGGAGAGCAATGTGCTTCGTTCTGTGCTCCAGTCTCTGCTCTCGACACAAGGCCAGCATGGCCTTGTTGTCTACGTACAGCACTGGAGGAGAACGAGGCGGCTCTCCGAGGTCAGTCAGCAGGTAGGTGAGCCAGCGAAGCTCCTGTGCAGCCATGGCCCCGGCGTAGATCTCAGCCTCACAACTGGAGCCGAGAACAGAAGACGAGCGGGTAGCCCGCCACGAAACAGAGCCGGAACCAAGGCTGAAGGTGTAACCCTGTGACGACCGCTGCGTAGCCTGGTCGTCAGCCCAAGAAGCGTCTGCGTGCCCAGTGAGGACCACTGGACTCTGCCCTCCAAGCACAAGCCCCATGCCCGACGTACTGCACAAGTAGCGCAACACCCTCTTCGCTGCAGCCATGTGCTCCGGTCTGTGTCTCCCAGGAGCAACATAGCGTGCGAGAATGCTAAGAGGGTATGCAAGGTCAGGTCGTGTGCAGGTCATCAGGTACATGAGGCAGCCAACAAGCTCTGGGTACGGGCCACTCGACTCTACGGACTCATCCGAAGGCAGAGCTGAGAGCGAGTGGTGAGTAGGCAGAGGAGTGGCCTGAGGCGAGGAGTACGTGAAGCCGAAGCGCTGAAGGACCTGCTGCACCATGTGTGACTGAGTCAGGGTAATGGTGCGGCGTGCTCTGTCCCGGGTGATCTGCAAGCCAAGGTAGCTGCGCAGTTCACCCAGGTCTGTGCACGTGTGTCTCTTCTGCAGCTCGGACTTCACGTGGGCGAGTCCAGCAGTGTCAGCTGTGGCAAAGACCAAGTCGTCGACGTACACGAGGATGTAGAACGGCGGCAAAGAAGTGTCGGTGCGCAGAAACAGCGACGGGTCGGCAGTAGAGGGAGCAAACCCAAGAGCCGCAAGTGTAGTCCTCAGTGTGTCGTGCCACTCACGCGGTGCCTGGCGGAGACCGTAGACTGGCCGCCGGAGGCTCCACTGGGTGCCAGGAGGAAAAGACCCAGTGAAGCCAGGTGGGCGACGCAGCCATATCTCCTCGTGCAGGCTGCCCTGCAAGAAAGCAGTGCTGAAGTCAAGAGAGTGCAGCTCGTAGTCACGGTGAGCAGCTATGTGCAGCAGTACCCGAAGAGTGGTCATCTTCGGGGTGGGAGAGAAGGTCTGAAAGTAGTCAACTCCCTGCCGCTGACTGAAGCCACGAGCCACGTAACGCGCCTTGAAGACAGGCGGAGAACCCGGCGGCCGCTTCACCCTGAAAATCCACATGCCACTGACGATGTTCGCCCCAGGCGGGGGAACCTCGTCAACGTAGGTGCCTGTGGACTTCCAGGAAGCCATCTCTGTGTCCATAGCTTCCTGCCACTGAGAGGAGTAGGGACCCTCTATCGCCTCCGCGTAAGAGCGCGGAGTCGGGATGTCAAGTGCATCCGGGTCTCCCTCAGGGGTAAGCAGTACGGACACGAGATGAGGTGAAGCAGCAGCCAAACACTGGAACTCCTCCTGCCTGTCCTCAAGGACGTCCGTGCCAAGGGCACACTCACCCCCGACGGTGCCAAGGACAGACAGACTCAGACTCATCGACAAGACTAGCAGCGTAGTCTAGACGACAGCGAGCAGCAAAGTCGACGAGCTCAGCAACTAGGGCAGACGCAGCAGTGGACTCAAAGGAAGGGTCAGTGACGACAGCAGCAAGGAGACGCGTGACAGTAGGACTGGCAGCACGAAGAGAGTCCGACTCCGGGTCGGGAAGAGCAGGAAGAGAGGACTCAAGAGGAGAAGGCAAAGGGGCACGCAGAGGAGCAGTGGACGGACGCAGAGACATCCGGTGCGTGCCAGGGACAGGAGGAGGACGCTGACGCGAACCACGACCACTAGTGCGAGCAGGACGGACAGGCGACGCAGGGCGAGACGCAGGCTCACGACGCTCAGCAAGACCTCCAGTAGGACCAGTGTAGGGAGAAGGAGCGGGCAGTGGGGAGGCCGGCTGTAACTGTAACTGTGACGGGACAGGCTGTGGACACTCTAAGGGAGGAGGAGGACCAGTAGAAGGCGGGAGACCAAGAACCTGCTGAAGGAGCGGAACGAAGTACGGCCGAGGCCGCGCGGCGACTCCAGACACAGCAGGGACAGCACCAGTACCCCCAGCGGCAGCACCAGCACCAGCAGCACCTCCAGCTCCAGTACCTCCAGCAGCACCAGTAGCACCCCCAGCAGGACCGCCTCCAGGACCGACAGCAGTAGCCTCAGCGCCAACACCCTCAGCAGCTCCAGCTCCAGTCGTACCCGCAGGCCCAGCAGCTCCAGTACTCCCAGTACGAGCACCTCCGGGACCCGCGGCACCAGCACCCTCAGCAGCCGAAGAACCTCCAGCTCCAGCAGCACGCCTCCAGCGCCGGGCAAAC